TGCCTCTGCCTCTTTCTTCGTCTTTCCACAGAAGAATAGGGGGTTCCTTGGAGCAAAAGCCTTGGCTTTCTTTAGACTGAGTAGAAAATACAGTTGGGAGGCGAGGAGACAAGGGACAGTAGTGTTGGACACCCATATGTAGAAGCCCTGGTAGCGTGGCAGTGAGAAGACCCTGAAAGAAGGCGGCCATCAGGAGGAGCAGAAAGCTGGGCGGAGACGAGCAGAGGCCACTCAACGAGCATGTACCATGCTGGCTGGAGGATGCCAGTGCGGCTGGGAGGCAGGTCCAGGCTCCCAGGACTGGCCCATTGTCAAAACTTGCTCATGAGCCTCTGCCTACATCCTTTCCTGTGCTGTCCATCTCTTACTCTCTCTTCTCTCTGTCCCTGTCCCCATCCATACCCGAGTGTCTACTGGGCATATGGTGAGAATAGTTCTGACAGAGTTAAGCCCAGGAGCTGCTTTAATCTAGATTGTGGGGCCAAGGCTAGACAAAGAAACTAGGCTGCGAAGACCCCCCCCCCACACACACACACCGCCAGCCTCTCAACACCTCACCAGTTTTCCATAAGAGAGGAGAAGCTGCCCCAGAGTCAGGAACAAGGTTGGACAGTCACTGTCATTCACCATCAGACTTCTTATCTGCCCATCTTCTGCTGGCGAGCACTTCCAGATCCTGCCTACAGAATACCTCTCCCTGTGTCTGGTTAGAAAGGGCTCTCCAATCGTATCCCTGAATAGCTACAGGACTGGATCTGGCCAGCCTGTGCCATCCATCCATGAATCACAAGTCACTCGATAGAAACCCGGTACCATCAGCCGGGGGGGCCTTTTGCTGACCTCTTGGGGAAAGGGTGCTTTTCTTTCTGCAGGGTTTGCTCTTCTGGGAAATTTAAGAATGGGGCTGCGTTAGAGCCTTTGGGGGTGTGGTTACTTAGAGAGAGTAAAGCTAGCACACATGAGAGCAGGCTTGAGTCAGAGAGACAGATGTCCGGTGACATTACCCAAATGCCCCGATCCAGATACGCCTGAAATCTATATCTCTGAGTTTTTCAGTTACGTGAGAAAAAAGCTTAAGCTGCCCTGATTTGGATCCCCTCTCCCCTCGCCCAGGGTCACATGTAGCCCAAGCTGGTCTTCGTCTCTATGTAGCTGAGGATGATCTGAACTCCTGATCCTGCTGCCTCCACCTCCCAAGCAGGGGTTGTAGGCATGTACCATCATCACACACGGCATGATTTTATGTGGTGTTGGGAATCAAGCGCAGGTCCTTGTGTGTGGCAGGCCAGCACTGTGCCAACAAAGCCTCGCCCTTAGCTTCTTGAGTTGGATTCCTTTCTTCCTATCGTTTACATGCAAGAGGTTGTGAATCAGCCTAGAGACAGGTAGAGAGAACCCAACGAGAGAAGCGACCGTAAGAAGAGGAGCTAGTCTGAAGTGGGGGGCCTGTTTCTGGTAGGGGGGCCTCTTTGGATTACTGGGCTGACATTTAGCAGGGAAGCAGGTAGATGAGAGTTTTACTGCAAAGGACACAGAACCAAAGCGGAGTTTCAAGGCGAGTGAAAACTCTTCCTTTGGCTGTCTATCCATGTGTGATAGTGGTCCCTTCGAGTCCCAGACCTGTACGGGTGGTAGGATAATATAGGATGAGAGGAAGACAAGGTCAGCTGGAGGGTATCTGGTCAATCAGCACTCAGTCACAACGGATATCCTGTGAACCAGTCTTTAAAGATGAAGGCAAAACATTCAACAAATCCCTGCGTGTCTCACGCTCAGAATGCCCTGTTCCTTATCAGATGCATCCGGACTTCGTCTGATGTACAGTATACAGAACTCAGTGATAAACAATGCAGAGCTAGGAAGAACCAAATGGCCCAGGTTGCCTTTATCTACCAGGCATCATGAGATGGCCCAGAGAGGTGACCTCAGCATTCCTCTTCAGTGTGTAAGGGCAGGACATGCACCACCTCCACTGATTACGAACCTGATGAAGTGACCCCTGGGCCCCCAAACAGGGGTAGAGTCTGAGGCTGCTTCTGGAGGTGCCAGGCCAGGATGGGGATGATGGGAGGAAGCGGTGCCCAGCACTGATAAGCCCCTCCCTTCCTTTGTCCCAGGGCTTTGCAATGTCTGCTTTGCCTATGCACTGGGACTCCTCAAGGGAGAGACAGAGAACGGACAGACAGGGTGGAGGGGCTGCTTCCTGGTGCCTGAGAGCCTCTTCACCCTTCCCCACCTCTCCTCACTTCCTCTCACTGGGGAACCATCAACACCATGTAAAGTAACCTCAGCCATATAAATAAAATACATATTTGAAATATATGTGCACGTATAAAATGTTTGTTAATGTACCCAATAGCTAAGGTACTGTTATTTCTTTCTTCAATTTACAGTCTGGCCTATCTTTTCTCATAGTCACATAATATTGTACTTATCCCCTCCCTTGCTGATGGACATTCAGGTTGCTCCTGGGTTTTTGATACTGCAAACAAGAACATCTAGACAGACATTGTGTGCATGTGTGGATGTTTCTTGAGGATTCATTCCTAGAAATGAGATTGCTGGCGCAAAACGGCTATGAATTTTTCATTTTGAAAGATTGTGCCAAGCTAGAGTGGAGACCTTTTTCCTGTGAAGGAGCCCTCCCTCTCCGGGGCTTAACCAGAAGACACCCAGGCCAGAAAGAGCACACAGGCTCTCCTTAGACACGGGCAGGTTCAAATCCTGGTTCTGCCACTTCCCTGTGTGACTTTGACTAAATCATTTCATCAGTCTCTCTCTCTTCCTCGTGCGTGTGTGATGTGTGTGGGGAGGGACATTTCACGGCACGTGTGTGGCATTCAGAGGACAACCTTGGGTTGATCCTCAACATCCACCTTTGTTTGAAGAGGGGTTTCTTTGTTGTTCACCATCGTCTATACCAGGCTAGCTGACCTGGTGCACAACAGGCTCTTGACCAACATACGTTCTCTTTCCCTGTCTGGACCATCTACATCCACCACAGCAGACCAGCTCTGGGGAGAGGCTGCAGAAGATGCTAATTAGTGAGTGTCTTGCAGAAGTCAGGATCGCAAGAGGATTGTTTCCCCTCAGCCCAGCCACTGCTTCTGCATCTCTGCAGAAGAGGAGGGAGTCAAGAGCAAAAGGCTGGCTAGATTTGATGACAGGGAATGACCAGATGCTCTCTACATAGAGCACACCGCAGCAGAAACACAATAAAGGCCCATGGTTAGCAACACAGGACTTCAGTGGTACAGAATACCACACATGTGAGGCCCCAGCCCGGTTCAGAAGGAGGGGCTCTGAGAAGGGGTCTGGAAGGGATCTGCAGCAGCAGCAGCAGATCATTGTGCTCTGTAATCTCCAGAGCTTCCTGTGGTAATCAGATCTATAGTTTCCTGCCCCTGGCAATGTAATGGGCCGTGGGATGTCCAAAGCAGGCTGCACTCCTGGGAAGAGGTACAGAAACTGCTGGCATGGGAATCAGAGTGGATCCGAAATGGTGGAGCAGATCAGCATTGCGACAGCAGGGACTGGCAAGGCCTCCAGAAGACGGAATCACGATGGGTGGGATCTGCGCAGTTGGCACTGGTCCTGGGGAGCACACTTTAGAGCCTGAGTCTGGACAGGTGATTTCCGGCCCAGATCCACCCAGTACATGCTCTGTAGTCTGGAGGGGGTGCGACAAGAAACCCTTTGAAAAATCATTTTCTTCGTTGGTAAAATGAAGATAGTACCCTCCATTGCGTCCACCTCCAGAGGCTGGGTGTGGCGGCTCATGCCTGTCATCAGCACTCAGGAGGTGACCGCAGGAGGATTTAGAATTAAGGCCAGTTACAAAGTGAGAGTCTATCTCAATTAAAAACAACAACAACAACAACAAAACAAAACAAACAAACAAACAAAAACCCCCAAAAAACAAAGAAATGGAGATGAGTGGAGTGTGGTGGCTTACCTCCGTAAGTCCCACCACCAGAAAGGCTGAGGTACAAGGACTCCTGAGAATTAAAAGCCAGCCTGAGCTACATAGTAAACTCTAGGTTAGCAAGGAATACAAAGTAAAACTTGGTCAAAAAACAAAAACAAAACAAAAACCCAAAAAACAAAAACAAAAAAACACCTAAAAGAACTGCAGAAACCAGGAAAGTACAAAGGGACCTTGCTGGGGTGGGAGCAATGGAGAAGGATACAGGTGGTCTGACTGGAGAAAGGAGGGAAACAGGGGAGCTCTAGTTAGGGAGGTGACTGTGGAAGGAGGGGAAAGAGGGTAAAATAACAGTAAGGATGTCTGGAAACGTCACAAGGAAGTCTACTATTAACTATCTACCCCACAACACCTATAATATTTGTAAGTTAATGTGTAAACACACACACACACACACACACACACACACACACACACACAGTTTAAATTAAAATTTTCCATCTAGACTTTATCCTAGAGTCGAATACTCCGACCAATCATGAAAAGCCCCTTTTTGACCTTTTTTGAGTGGTTGGTCAGGGTTGTCTAAGAGAGTCTCAAAACATCACAGGCTATTGTTATCACCCTTGGTTGCCCCCAGTGATGGAAGGTAAGTGTCCCTATTGCTGAAGATGCCACGCTCTTCAGACACAGGGCTCAGAGACCCCCGAAGATGGAAATGACCTGAATGCCTCCTCCCTGAGGACTAGCCTCCATGGTACAGGAAGCTATCATCCAAGCTTCCAAAGGAGAGAAGCCACCAGATAGGACACCGATGAACCACAGCAATGAGCAGCCCGACACAGTAACACTAAGGATGCAGTAATGCACACATGCCTTAGCAGTAACCAACAGCTCTCTCTAATTGGACTTAAGACCTGCTCAACAAGAGAGAAACCGTGCCTGGTACCAGAAACCTAGCCAGCTACTCAGGGCTAGGGAAGTCGTGGATCTTGGAGGAGAATCTAAAATTACCATTTTACTTAACCAGCCTAATCCCTAACTGTATTCTGAATGTCTGTCCTTATACCCACAGATAAGTACAGTCCTCACCAGTGACCTCATTGAATGCTACCTCAGATGTGCTAGAATGCCTAAGACAAGGGGAAATGAAGAGAAAAACGTATCTGCTACATGCTGGCCTGACCTCATGCTAAACGGTGCTCAGCCTGACCCTCGGGTAGGCATAGTATTTTATAGGACCCACAACTCACCTGCCAGTGTTCTGCTTCTGCAATTGCAAGGCTTTCTGCTCCCCTCCCTGATCCAACAGTGATCTCACAGTAACACAGAAACGTCTCATTTTTGTTTGTCAACAGCCACCATACCCGCATCGGCCAGCTGACACTGCCCAACGTGTGTTTTGTCTTTATAACCCCCCTGCTTTACTGACTTAGGGTCACCTCTTCAGATTTGTGTGTGCATCCCTGGCTGGGTCTGTGTGGCTCCTCATCCTGGTCTCCTCTTGGGTGAGAACAGCCTGGTTACAACATCATCAAGGAGATTTCTCTTTGCAACAGGGAGAGATCATTTCGGAAAACCGGAACCAATCAAAATGCAGAGTTGGGGATCTCAGTCCCAAGGATACATCTACAAAACCACCCTTTCACCTAAGGTTTAGGGGTCATTGTACAAAAGGGGGCAGAAGGACTGTAGGAGCCAGAGGAACAGGGAGTTTGCTGTGAGAGTGTGTCTCCTAGGAATGTCAGAAGCTACATCAGAAAGTCTCAGCAACAACTGCCGAAACAGGAACTGAATAAAGACAACAACAATGAATAAAGACAACAATAACGGGCATGCAAACAGGGGTAGGAAAGCCCAGGAGACCTCAACCCCACACAAAGAACTCCAGGCAACAGAGGAATGGAGCTGGGGGGGTGGGGTGTTGGGGGGAAAGGTATAGACTTCCCCCAGGGAAAAGCATACCAACTGGTTATCCAATACGGAATGATCAACCCTGAAAGCATCCACACAAGAACAGCATACAGACTGAGCAGGTTGTATTTCTGTATTTAGGAATATGTAGTGCGCGCATGTGTGTGTGTGTGTGTGTGTGTGTGTGTGTGTGTGTGTGTGTGTGTGTGTGTAACAACAATTAAGAAAAAAAGGAGGCCATGGCTGGGCAGTGGTGGTGCATGCCTTTAATTACAGTATTCAAAAGGCAGAGGCGGGTGGATCTCTGAGTTTGAGGCCAGCCTGGTTTTCAGAGGGAGTTTCAGGACAGCCAGTCTGTCACAGGAAAAAAAAAAAAGATCAAGGAAGTGTATTTGGAGAGAGGGAAGGGAAGGGGGAGGATGGTGTAATTATACTATAATCTCAAAAAATAAAATAAACAATTTTTTTTTAAACCTAAGGGAGTCAGGGTTAGGTGCATTCCTAAAATCACAATACTTGGGAGACAGGGACATAAGGATCAGAAGTTTAAGGCTATAGTCAGCTACACATAGAATTTGAGGCCAGCCTGGCCTATATAGACTACATCTTTTAAAAAAACAATTAAAAAGAAATTGGTCATGCCTTTTTCAGTGTCTCTCTGTTAGCGCTTTTGGCTGGTGCTGGAACTGGAACTCAGGGCCTTGTCTGTGTGTTCTGAGCCAGAGCTCTACCACTGAGTCACACTCCAAACTAGTGCGGACGGACGTTCCTAACAAGCTCACACTACACCAAGAGTGAGTTCAAGTCTGACATGGTGATGCCTTCCTGTAATTCCAATGCTCCGGAGGGTTTGATAGGAGGATCAGGAGATCAAGACTATCCTCTAGCTACACATTACAGCTGAGGCCAGTCAGAGTTACATGGGACCCTCTTGTCCCCCCCCAAAAAAACCAAAAAACAAACAAAAAAAACCCAAAAAAACGAACAAACTAACAAAAAAACCAAAAAAAAAAAAAGAATTTGAATATTCAAGTGGATGGACTTTGAGGAGATGACAAAGCAGAACTGGTCGTTTTTTGTTTTTTCTTTCCTCCAGAATTATCTGCGTCTCCTCAAGGCTCCAGTACTCTTCACAGTATTTTGTGGCTCCGGATTCCTGGACTCTGGAGTAGCGGAGATTTTCTGGTTCTCACTTCCATTAGCTTCTCACAGTGATGCTCTGGCTTCGGGCCCAGTCCCCACTCACAGGTTCTGGAACTGAACTTGCAAGCCCCAGCACCCTCCCACCCAGCTCAAGACAGGGCCAGGGCTTGCTGGAGACTTGCACGGAAGCCAGAGGCTTTGTTCATCTCCCTGACTGCAGTGGCTGGCAGGCCGGACCCACGTGTCTCAACCCCAGAGGTCGCTACCTCTCTGGGGTCAGAAGCATGTCAACTCTGTCCTTGAGCATGATTCTGGGGTGAGCAGGAAAGAGACGAGGCCGGGTGGGGAGTGGAAAACTGCCCAGGATGCACTTTCCCTGGTAGGGTTCTTGATCCTGTAACCGAAATGCACCCTGGAGCTCCTTAGCTTCTGCCTCTCTATTCCACCGTTTCTGGTCACCTCCTCCCTCCCCGGCCTTCAGGGCTATGACCCTCCACCTTGCCACACTCTGAAAGATGAGCAATGGTCAAAGCATGAGCCATCGGAGGTGAGTCAGTCTCTAGGGCAGTGGTTCTCAACCTTCCTAACGCTGCCACTCTTTAATACAGTTCTTCATGTTGAGGTGACCCCCCCAACCATAAAATTATTATTATTATTATTATTATTATTGGTCTTTCAAGACAGGGTTTCTCTGTAAAACAGTCCTGGCTGTCCTGGAACTCACTCTGTAGACCAGGCTGGCCTCGAACTCACAGAGATCTTTCCTGCCTCTGCCTCCTGAGTGCTGGGGTTAAAGGTGTGCACCACCACTGCCCAGTTACTTCATAACTGTAATTTTGCTACTGTTATGGATTGTAATGGAAATATCTGTGTTTTGACGGTCTTAGGCGACCCCTATGAAAGAGTTGTTTGCCCCCCCCCAGGGGGGTCGAGGACTCACAGGTTGAGAAACACTGCTCTAGAGTGCCCTTAGAGACAACCGAAGTTCAATCTGCCTTGGAAAAGGAATGAGGCTAGGCTAGTGTTCACAAAACAGCCTAGGGGCAGTGCTCGCCAGTGACCTCTAGTGGGGGAGCATCCCAAGAGAACTACCTGGGGTCTTAGGAATTACTGAGCTGCTTCACTTTTAGGAGAGCCTGATGTCGAAGGTGTGAGCTCCAGAGTTCGGTTTAGGAGCCTGAGGAAACGGTGGGTCTGAGAGGTTCTCACTCACGCTGCTAGGGAGACGCTGACCTGCAATGGAAACTCAGGACTGCCTGCCTGACTGCTCAGTGGGAATTTTGTGGGTCCTTCCCAAGGTTCGGTACCATCCTCCACACACAGGCGTGCCATCCCCTGGGTCCAGGCCTTCACTCCGTGCTCTAGTCCCTCTCACCCACCCGTGCTCCCTCTCTCCCAGCTCCTCCAGTCTCCTCGCACTCCCCACTTCCTTCCCTTTCACTCTTGGAAAGCAGCCATGGGCTTTTTTCTTCCATCTGAGGGAAAGAAAATGGTCTCATCCACTACACCTCAGGTCCCTCCATCCTCTCATCCATCCAAACCTAAGCATCTCTTTCTTTCTCTCTCTCCTCTCCCTCCTCATTTCTTGCTTCCCCCACACTGCTGTTTATCCATCACTAGAAGCCACCCCCTTCCTTCTTGCCTGTAGGTTCTGTGGCTATAATCAAATCATAACTTTTATTAAATTTAAGATTACTTTTTAATGGAATCAATTTCTTGTGTGGTGCTTCTCTGCCTGCCCGCGGGCTCCGCCGGCTCTGTGCTCAGCATCCCCACCCTCACAATTGTCTCTGCCGCTGGCGTTTCTAGCTAAGCTGCCTCCCAAGGAGGGGTAGGTCTGCCATCTCTACATACATCACACAGAAACACACACACACACTCGCGCACACACACACACACACACATCAAGCTACGCCTTCCTCAAAACCCCAGACACACAACCTCCAAGCCCCAGGCACCCACGCTGGGTGATGGGGGTGGGGAGCCAGCATGGGGGTGGGCAGGGGCAGGAGGAGCGAGCTGCAGAGAGAAAGACTGTGGGTGCAACACAAACACGGAGTGGAACAGACATTTCTCAGCCTGCTCATTTCCTACAGTTCTGTTTTCTAGCCTCAGAAGCAAGCTGGTTTCTGCCAGTTCGCCCCTTTCCCTCACTCCACTGTGCAGCCGGTGAGCAAGGGGGAAGTTGCAGTGGGGGGGAGGGGGGGGGGTCCACAGATTCAGCCAGCCCGGAGACTCCGGGCTTCCTTTGATTTATAAAAGCACATACATGATGATGTAAGATGCATTATATGGGAGGTGGCTGTGATCTCCCCAAACACAAGCTCATCAGACAGGTTTGCAGCTGGGTGCCCCTTAAGTCTACATACAAGCCATGTATGTAGGGAGGGAGCCTAAGGGTTCTAAAAGGGGGAGAAGGACACAGAAGAGAGGGGTATAGGGCCACTTTGATAGACTGGCACGGGAGAGGGGATGGCTTGCAGGAGACGGAAAGTCATAGTGGCCTGTAGGTTGGGGGTGGGGGTGTCTGTTGACTCAGCAAAGACATGGGCACCTCCAGGAGCTGCCTGGAGAGCTCTGGACTGAATAGCTCTAGCTTTTTCCGGAGGTTGCTTAGGAAGAGCCAGGTGGACAAGAACACATAGGTGGACAGGTGCATTTGAGGCTGGGGGATTGCCATCTTAGCTCTCTGAACTGTCTCAGCCCATTTGCTTTACTGTTAGGAGTGGAAGCTCAGGTTCATCCAGGTGGGTGGTGCTTAGCTTAGCAGGTAGGAGCCCAGCCTTTGGCATTGGGGTGCTTTTTGAGTACCCACTTGGATGGTTTCTTTTTTAAAATCAGAACGACCTTGAACACGTGACCTGGATTCTCTGAGCCTGGTTCTTCTCCGCCCAGCCAACCACACGGTTTCTGAGCACCAGCCAGATGCATCTATGGCGTCCATATCAGTTCTGCTTGCTGCGGGAGACCCCTCCAGGCAGGCCTGGGTTCCTGGATGAACTTCAGCCTGGCACCAGACAGCATGTGAATGGGTGGCTCTGGAACCGGCCCCCCCGGCATGCCTAGTAGCTCTAATCTGCTTCAGTGAATTGGTGGCTGATGTCTGTGAGTAGCCCAGGAGAGGGACCCATGAAGGCCCCTGACATTGAGCCCTCACCCCGGGCTTTTAAGGGACAAGGAGCTGGCACTAGTCGACTTCTGGGGCGCGTCAAGGAAGAACACCTAGCCCTCCTCTGCAGCCTCAGCTAACACCTGTTGTTTTTGAGACGTTAGAGGGCTCTGACATCCTTAGACAAGGTCCAGACAAGGAAAGTCTATAAAGATTTAATCAAGCACTGTGTATGGGTGACCCTGGCTGCCCGTTCCTGTCCTCCAACTCTGGGGAGAAGGAAGAACGTTATGAAGAATGCAAAAAAAGGGGCAGAAATGGTGGAAGCCGATTTTGTCAGTGAAGCCCCACATTTAGCCAAGCTTGGGAGCAGACGGCAAACACGGCCCCAAGTCATCGCCTCACCAGGTTCTGCAGCTGGGCCCAAGGTGAGAGGTCACTTCGAGCTTGGCAGTTGTTTTAGAGAGTGGGGGCACAGGAGCCTCCCCCCTTAAACAGACCTTTCCACAGCTGCAGGAAGGAGGCTGGTCCAACCTGCTCAGCATCTCCCGCTGCTTGACCCCTGGCACAGGCATGCTGTTCAGTCTGTACCTGAGCCTACACACCTGTATGGGCCTGTCTGGAGGCAGGACCTTCCCACGGGCCATGAAGTCACTCCGACGGAGTCACTGCCCAAGGAGACTGATGAGCTTCAAACATTTCAAACATCGTCCTCTCCGCATGGGGGTTGGGCAGGAGTCACTCAAACGAAGTGGCAGGACCTGATCCAGCAGGTCTCCTGAACTTCCTCAAGTTGGTTGCTGGGTTCTATGACCCACTTGACCCGGAAGTAGTTGTAACCCTGATCTGCACCTAGGGTGCACACCCTTGTGGAGGGTTTATCACCAACTCTCCTCTCCTCTTCTTTTCTCCCTCTCTTTCTTTCCTTCTTAGATTCTATTTATTTTTTGGAGGGGAGGTGTGCACATGCCGTGGTGGTATGCATGTGTAGGTCAGAGGATGGCCCGTTCTTCCATTCCACCATGTGAGTCCGGGAAGTGCTTTAATCCGATGAGCAACCTCTCTGGCCCTCTCTCTCCAATTCTTTTTGAGAGGTGATATAGCTGTGTAGACCAGATGGGCCTGAGATTTGCCATCCCCCTGCTTCAGTCTCCTGAGTGTGGAGAGTCACAGGGGTGCATCATCACACCCAGCTAGACCAGCCAGGCTTTATTTGAATACCCAGCGATCGTGGCAGGCACTGTTGCACGTCCTGTTGTATAGAAAGAAAGCTGAGGCTCAGGGAAGCCAGTGAGTGGTGCAGCTGATTTTGTCTTTTTAATGGTACTGGGGATTGAACCCAGACATCCCAGGCAAGTGCTGTGCCCCTTAGGCTCACACCGGAGCTGGAATTTGAAACCAGAACATCTGTTCCTAGAGCCCTGGCATTTATCTGCTGTGTGACGCTCCTTCTCCCTTCTGCAGGTTTCAGCCATACCTACACGAGGAGGAGTTTCCTTTATTTCCTGCCTCTTGCCCTTGACTTTCATACCTTCAAATTCCCTGTTGTCGTCACCACCTTCACAATTCACCACTTTCTCATTTTTCATTTCTGTTGAAGACAAATAATCACCTGAGACCCCAAAGCAGGCTCAGCACCGCTCTAGAGGTCCTTCCTCCTCTACCTTCCTCCTCTTCTTCAGCATCCCCGTGCCCACTGCCATCATCACCTTCACCTTTTGGAAAGCATCTTCCTGCAATGGCAGCCATACTTACAGAGCGGGGCACACCCACCTCCTTCTGTGGGACCAGAGGAGGAGGTTCAATGTACACTACACGTACAACCTAAGAATGTGAAAAGTCCTCAGAAAATAAGGGCGGGGGGTGGGCTGGGCTGGGGGTGAGGGTGGGGAGAGAATTTAAAACAGCCAAAGAGTGTCTGTTGAGGGAATTAATCAATGGCCAAGGAGATTGCTTGTCATCTTTCAATATCTGTAAAAATAACAGGCCTCTAGAGAGAGAGAGAGAGAGAGAGAGAGAGAGAGCCAGAGCGTCAAGGGAACAGAAGACCAGGAGATGCTCTGCACAGCCCGGGCCTGTGAGGAGCTGCAGGGGACAGAGAACCACCCACTTTGGGTGTTGGCCAACACTCCACTCCATCTTCCCTAGCCACAGTAGCTCTTGCCATCCCCTGGAAGCTGGCAGCCTCCAGTAACCCCGCCCAGGAGTTTGGGAATTGCGTATTGCTGCTAGTCTGAATCCCACCTGCCTCCCAGCCCACCAAGCTCGCGGGCTCCCTCTGAATGTCGGACGCCATCCACGCCATCAGCCTGCACAGAAACTTGAAGAGAGGGCAGCGGCTTCCCGGATCAGAGCCTCCGCCCAGACTTCCAGCCAAGGCCCCAGAGCTCCCAGGACCTGGAGGGTTTTTTTCTCCTGGTTGTGTTTGGAATTGGCTGGTTTTCTGGGCACCAGGCCCAGCTCAGTTTAATTTTTGTTTATTTTTATGTACAGATTCTCTTCTGTTTGGGGAAGAGCTTTGTGTAAATTATTATTATTTATATGATAAAGAATAAATCACACCAAATAAAAAAACCCACAATCTCTTTTCTCAATAGAATTACTAAATTAGGGGCTGGAAAGAACAACCGATATGCTGGGTTTGGTTTCAGAAAGCTTTGGACATTCTCACAAAGTGTCTCAGTCACTGCATCCTGTCATCTGGATTTGATGTTTTATATGGCCAGCATAGGCACGTGGGCTGGCCGATGAAGACCAGAGCCTAGGCAGGACCTAAGGGTGCGGGTTTCCCGGTCTGCTATACTCCCATCCCCTGGGAGATTAGTTGAACGTTTTGATGTGATTTGCTAGCTTGGAATGGGGAAAGAATAAGGGGAAACAGAGGAGCTGGGGGATTCCTGCCAGAAATAAAATCCAGTGCCCCAAATGGGCATGGGGGTGGGGCACATAGGAGTTCCTTGAATAGTGGCATTTATTACATCAGGGGAACGAGCCAATCATTTCTTTGCCTAGTCATTAAATCTGCATATTTCAAACCTATTGGTTGGAATGAAATGAGTCAGGAGGCAGGGATGCAGATGGGCAAAGGATCAACTTGGCCCTGAGAGTGTCCCCAAGTGCCCCCATCCCTTGCCCCTGTCCCCAACCAGAGTAGGGAGACAAATTTACCCAAAGTTCTCTGCTCACCTCTTTCCTATCCCTTACCCCTGCCCTTCCACCCTCAGTCCCATCCACTGGTTCATAAAGCTCTGTTTGAGGGCTAGAGACACACCCAGGACTGGGACTGCATCCCAGGAGCTGATATCCTAAAGGCCACAGAGAGGAAAAAAATCATCAGTAACTGTTGCTTTGTTGATGACGGTTTAGAACCCCAAACTACCCCAGAATTAATAAGACCATTATGACTAGGAGCATAGCCCAGAGGCAGTACTTGTCAGCTATTCATGGAACCTTAGGTTTGATCCACAGTACTGGAAAAACAACAAGAAGAAACTGCTCAAACTGTGACCTCTTCCTGGAATATGATTCTTCAATCTGTCCAATCAGGTTCCAGACTTGGCGGTCCCAGGTTGTAGACCAGGCTGGCCTCAAACTCAGAGAGTCACCTGTCTCTGCCTCACGAGTGCAAATTCAGAGATTCACCTGCCTCTGCCTCACGAGTGCTCGGATTATAGGCGTGTGCCATCATGCCCCGCCAGGTTCTACCTTTGATTCATAGGGTTACAACCACCATCAGGATGACGAGTAGAGGGCCTTGCACCTTCCTGAGTTTGAAAATCCATTCTTCCACTTAGTAGTGCATAACGGAAATCTTGAGCAAAT